AGAGGGTCCTAGATGGAATGGAACGTGCGCCAATTGGGACCATGTTATCAACAAGCCTTTGGTGGCTGAATTATTCCCCTTTAGTATGAATCCCACTCTTCTAGTCCATCCTGGAAAACACCATTTCCAAACAGGCAGTAGAGAGTTTAGGATAGATGGTACTCTCCTGTTCCACGCTTTTCTCTAAGGGAATCTGGAGGGGGTATCGAACAGGGTAATATTTGTGAAGCGGCCAGAGATTGTTTCCTTTAGCAAGGTGATGTAACGGGTGCTGATTCCCTGTTCTCTAGGTGCAGTCCGCACAGTTCTGTGCCTCATAGTCGAGTAACAGGTGATGTATCGAGGGAGCTGAAATTTCCTCACGCGATCGAAGATTTGACTTAAGATAAAATGCTAACCGTCGTGCTGCTGCTCGTTTTAAAATCCTGCCTATTCTCTTGGCTACTGTTCGTCCGCACTTGTTGACAGTTGCTGGTGATGATATTGGTGAACAGCAGCTTGTCAACTTGTGAAGGTAGGCAGATTGGGAGACAGTTCTCTACATCTTGCGTCTCATCCTTCTTGAACAATATGATGGTCGTTTACTCCTTAAAGCCTGATTCTATCTTTTCCGCTTCCTTCATGTAGCAATGAACTTTTCCGCTAAGCCCTTCATAGCATTTAACCTCCTGCTTTGAGCATTTTCACTGTTAGACCTTCTCTTGTCGGGACTTGTCCTTTCTTCACTTGCTACGTGGCATGCTGAACTTCGCTTATGAGGACCGCAAGTGCACTTCCCTCTGACAATGGCGTGGTGGTGGTGGTGGAACGTGTGTCTTTGACGCAAATGGCTGGGTGGACAAGTTGTTACTGATCCACTGCATCTCAGGTCAGTCAGAGGTTAATGTTCCATTCCCGTGCCGTGCCAACAAGCAAATTTTTTCCGGCCCTTCCTCGTCTGACCCTGAAATGTCCTCACAACTAGAGTGTACGTGGAATTTGCTACCGATGCCTGCTTCAGTTCTTAGTAAAATTCTGTCACTTTCTCGTCGTCAGCTGCACTTGTGGGAGCAGGGATTTGGACGATCTTGAATATCCTCTTTATGTCCAGTTGAAGGCACAGCATGCCCAGTCCTGGTGATTTCACATGGAAGAAGACAGTTTGGGAAGCCAGCAGTTGCTGACTGACTATAAATCCTGTGTGTGAAACCTCATTTTAAATATCGCCTTTCTCAGGCACGTTATTTTTTAGAGGAAAATCAAATTGATGCTTTTCGTTGACTTT